ATTGATGGAGATTCCTTTGCAAGGAGTAAGGATGATGATAGAGAAGGATGAATGGTCCTCCAATGAATGGCATTTGGAGTAGATGAGTGACACTTGGCTGGCCGTCATTAGACATATGCTGATCATTAGTGCCACAGCATCTGGGGGCATGTGCCAGGCTGGGGGGTAAGGGCACAGCCAGCTTTAGATTAGCCTACAAATAATGTGCATTCTCTATACCTGCTTGTGTTATGTAATTGTAAAAGCACACATGCTGTGGCTACACACACACACACACACACACACACACACACACACACACCTACTGTACATGCAGATACAGTACACACATAGATGCATTTAATAACACTATCCCTTGTATAAAGTGTACATGAGAAAGGCTACACACTCATACATTTATGTTGGCAGCAGAGGAACCTTCATTGCCATAGTAACACTTGCCTGTATATTAGACCCAGGGAGTAAGTGTAAGATTGTTAGAAATTTGTTGCAACATTTTTAGGATATTTGCTTAAACAGCAATGTGTCTTTTATTATTACTATTGATTTATATAGCGCCAAACATCAGCATTGGTGTTCAAGGTGAGGATGCATATGCGTAAATTTTGCAGTACATAAACATATGCATGTATAGTATTTTAATATGTATATATATATATATATACTGTATATATATACATACATACAGTATATAGTAAGTAAGCACAATTCCTGCACCGTTTTTCAATCCATGGCAGAACTTAACTAGCCTTACTTTGCGTTACATAATTCCTAATGTTATGACATAGTACATAGAGATTGTGTACATGATAAAACTGTGTAATGAAACACAATTCCATTAAGCTGTCTCTGGATGACAGAGGGTGCTGATCTGGCATTACATGAACAGTGGCTCGTATCTGTACCCAGGCAGGCTATAGATATGAGCTTTGAGAAGACACAGAAAATAGACATATTGTGGGTGTGTGGGTTGCAATCAAAGGTTGGCAGAATATGTAAAGATCGGGGACGACACTGACAGACCCCCTTTTGTCTTCGCAGAGAGAGGAAATGATGAGCGATAAGGGGTTGATAATGAAGGAAGGGATCCTGGTTCATTATAGACTAGCAACAGTTTGAAAGCTGCAGCGTATATTTAATGTCGCAAACTCAACTCCTCGTGCCAATTAAATCACAGCTAATGGCACAGTGACCTAAAAAGCTTAGATAGAAACCGTTTATTGCCAGAAGTCACATCCCAACATAGTAAATAGTTAAAGGATCAAGACACCAAACCACACACTGAGCTATTTAAAACACATATCTGGGAAGATGTCCCCACTTCTGTAAAGTATAAGGATATTAGGCTTCACCTTGGAGTTCAATAACCAGATACAGTCTCAGGACTGCGAGCAGTGGGTGTATAAAGGTCAATTAATTCTGCCGGGAGTTCAAAGTAACCATAATTTATATATTGCAAGGGACACATGTTAATACACCAAAATTCCTACTTACACATACTGAATGATAGACTATGACAGAGAGCCACAGACTGACAGACATTGAACAAAAACTGATGAGCAGACCCAGAACAGGGTCAGATGGATAAACTGACACAAACACATGGGTACATTCCCAGGTAAAACTAAGTTCTAATAGTTATATTATAAACCAAGACCACTCCAAGGAGCCCCACGGCCAAAGTCAATAAGTGGGCTTAGGACAAGTCAGTAAGTGGGGTTAGGACAAGTCAGTAAGTGCGGTTAGGACAAGTCAGTAAGAGCTGTTAGGACAAGTCAGTAAGTGGGGTTAGGACAAGTCAGTAAGTGGGGTTAGGACAGGTCAGTAAGTGGGGTTAGGACAAGTCTGTAAGTAGGGTTAGGACAAGTCAGTAAGAGGTGTTAGGACAAGTCAGTAAGTGGGGTTAGGACAAGTTAGTAAGTGGCGTTGGGACAAGTCAGTAAGAGGGGTTAGTGCAAGTCAGTAAATGGGGTTAGGACAAGTCAGTAAGAGGGGTTAGGAACAGGCTGGAAGATTTTTTTTAGAACAGTGGATGCATTAAGAATAATATGGTGTGTTCGTGCTTTGCCATTCTAGCATGGTTGAGGCTTTGTCCAGATTATGCAAGCAGTACAATCTGATGTCAGAATCTGCTGTCTTTATAACTATCATGTACAGAATGTGCTAGATGTGCTTAACCAAGAGGTTTATAGATTGAGATGAGCAAAAATTAGAGTTTTCATTTTCCCAAATTTCAGTGAAAATCAGGAGATTTTGGCAAAATTCACCATTTGGTAAAAATGTATTGGCGTCAATAGGGCAAGCAAAATTAAGGTGACTTTTGGTAGTTTTTCAGGATGCAGTAGCCTTTAAAGTTCACCTGTGACTATGGACATTAAAATATTAAAATATTTTTAACAATATAACTTTAAAACAAACCATTATTGACCTTGGTAGCTGCAGACACAGTGGAAAAATATATCTTCAAAGTTCCCAACAGAAGCACTAAAATCACAGCTTATATTGCCAGCCCTCTGATGTAGACAAGCAGCAGGTACTGTAAGCCGTTCGGTCCATGTAACATTGGTGATTTATAGCATCTACAGAATCACTCTGCTTAGTGTTTTTGTTGCTATGAAAATAATGATTTGCAGTCAATGAAAGGTCTGTGTTGCTGAACTCCCTAGCAATTGCTAGCCCAGGCACTGATCAGTTGACTTCTGTAGGTACTCCTGTTATCTAATGCAGATGCTGTTGATCATGTCACATGAGTGATTTGTATTTGCATAGATAAGCATTGTAGCCAGCTTCAACAGCAACTCTGTAGCAGCTACAAATCACCAAAGAACATAACCAGACAGATTTGTAGCTACTACATATTGCTGCTACAAAATTAAAAGTAAGAAATGCCTCTTAGAAACTGACTGAAACCAGATGTCAGCCTCTGTTGGGAAATTTGAGAATGAATCACTCCATAGTGTCTGAAGCTGCAGAGGTCAGTGAGGGCTTATTTTAAAGTTCTTTAATGGAATATTAAGAATATGTGGGTCTTTTATTGTCTATAGTCTAGCTACAGATACACTTTATATGTCTCTTTATATGTAAATTACCCCTAGACTCATTATTTTATGGTTTTATCACAGTAAGACTGAAAGAAGAATAGTCTTCACTATTATAACAACTGTGAACATCAAAGTTTAAAATGTGCAGATTGTGTATTATTTTAATTTACATACTATGTTCTGATCAATAAAATTAGGGCTTACAAGAAAGTTTCTACCAGAATCCCCAATCAGATTCAGATGCAAGTCACATGAGAAAGAGCAACATTCTAGAATTAAGTTGGCAATTTTTAGGCAATTTCAGCCAACTTTCAATCCCAAAAAACAATCAAACTGGATAGACCCTCAAGTCTAAGGCCCTTTTCACAACGGCATTCTGACCAGGTCCACCTGTCAGCTTTTCAGGCAGACCTGAACGAAAGCCTGATGTTATTCTATAGACAGCCGGATCTAAATGAATGTGCATTTGTTCACATCCGGTTACCCCCCCCCCCGGCTCCGGCCAGGTCCAGAAAAGGAAACAGATCAGTGTTCAATTTCAATGGACCTGACCATGTCAAATTGGGGGTAATCTGATGTAAATGGACACGTGTCTGTTTACATCTGATTCCCCTTAGACCAACATAGGTCCGTTAGTTTAAGTTTTTCCTCCATCGTGAGATGGAGGAAATAACTGGATGTATATGGATGTCACAACTGTGGCATCTGTTCTGATCCCCTTTGGATTGGAAGTGAAGGCATGGAACTGAAAGGGGCCTAAATCCATTGGGGAGACATGTCTGGTGTATGCTTATCTTCTAATTATCTTGGGAGAAAATGTAGATCAGCTGGTAAATCAAAAATGTCTGATCAATTCTCCCCCATATGCAATCAGCATTTAATACAGGTGTTGTACAGCGTTGACCATAGACTTGCTGGTTGCTGCCCAACCCCTGTAAAATCTGATGATGATGATGATGCAGCAAAAGTACATTAGGGGACATTTATCAATTTTGTCACATCATCAGCATCTTTTAATCTGTCTCCGATTTCTAGTGCATATAGCGACAGATTTATTATCCTAGTTTCTGCTTCATTCCTAAAAGCCTTCATAAGAAGAACTGTCTCTAAATTGCCTCTGAATTAGGGTGGGGGCACTTAAGAGTGGTATGGGGGCAGATGTGACCTTACCCCTGCACAACATGGTGCATGCGCAGGGGTGCAGTGTGTATGTGCCCTGGCATCACACACTATTTGACAGGTGGAAAGGATGTGACAGCTGATGGATATAAGAGGCAGGGGAAAGGAGATCCCCCTACAACACACTATTGTTGGTGGGGGGTGGTGGTGTTCTTCTTTCCTCTATCTCTTCTGGAAACCAAACACAGGAGCCTTGGTATCAGAAATACATTTGTTTATATACACCTAAAGATACTTAATAAGTTGGGGACTACAACAAAACGTATTGGCTACTTTGGACCCTGCAGAATCTCCTGTGGGATGGTTTGATATCCCCTGAAGTCCCTGGGGGGAGGCAAAGTTAACCAGTTCCACATGGTGGATGAGGGACATGTTCTGCATACACTTCTCAGTTATATATAAGATTTGCTCTGTTTGGCCTGAAGAGCCAGACATTGTCTGTGAAACGCATTACCACCTATTTCTGCACCCAAATTCCCACCTTAGTATTGCAGTGTAGATCGACATGTTAGTCGTGTGACCCATACATTTTTCTTTGATGTATAATTTTGAAGTTGATTAGAGCTGGGGCAAGAGGTGCAGTTTTAATGTTTAATGTGCAGTAACAAAGATACATTGTATTTAATAACATGTGTTTATTGGAGCAAAATGTGAGATTGATATGTTTGGTTTTAATAGACAAAT